TGATCTCAGTCCTCGGGGGAGGCTTTGCCCTGGAGGAAGTGGGAATGGGGAATGGACTGGGGGGAAGGGGAGGGGGCAGAGGGGGGAATAACAAGGGAATCCATGGCTGATATGTAAAATTAAATTTAATAAATAAATTTAAAAAATGAATAGGAGGGTACTATATGTCCATTAACTATGTTACATCTGATTTCAACATATTACTCCACAAACTAAAATATGCATAAAATACAATTATCTTATATAAAATGAACATACAAATACAAGGGGGAAAGAAGAAAGTTATAGATTTGAATTGTCTTGACGAAAAGAAAAATGCTAAGCTTCATGAGAAAACCTCCAGTAATTCTCATGCTTTAAGCTTTGAACATTTACTCTTGATTTTCCCATTGGAGTAGTTAACACAGATGTAAATATACAAAGGAAACCCTGTGTGTTTAAAAATGAGAGAAAAGATATATTATGATACAGAGTATAAAAGGACACTTTAAAAATTACTTCAAACTTAAGAAATTCTCATTGATTATAGGTAATTACATATAAGCCTGTAGCACAAATCTTAAAGATTCTTATTAATAAAATCAAACCTGAGCCAGGTATTGGGGTGAGTACTGGAAGGTCAGAGAGACATAACAAGCCACAGCTAACCTCACCTGGCCAACTTCTCAGCTGGTCTTGTTTCCTCAGACTGGAAGCTTCTGTGTCCTCATCCCAATGGGTCTCAGCTGAACTGCTGCTCAAAACCTAAAAGCTTAACCAGCCAAATGCTTCTAGTTTCTGGTCCTCATGCCTTATATACATTTCTGCTTTCTACCACCACTCCCTGGGATTAAAGGCTCGCTTTCTGAGATTAAAGGTGTGAGTCACCATGCTTGGCTGTATCCTTGAGCACATGGATTTCTGCCTCTGGAATGCTAGGATTAAACTGTGTGCTACCACTGCCTAAACTTTATGTTTAATATTGTGGCTGTTCTGTCTCTGAACCCTGATAAGTTTATTAGGGTGCACAATATCTTGGGGAACACAATACCACCACATAAGCCATTGATAGTTGGAAACTCTGTTTGATTCTAATTGCACTCATACAATTTTTGGACACTCTGGTGCATCTATAAGCACACAAACTACTTAAACACACATTTTTGAAGTCCACCTTGTATGCTTAGGAAAAGACCAGGTGTGGGAAGAGAGGAGAGCCAGTGTCCTGGTCTCCATCAAAGCACATGGAGTCTGCTCTCCCAGTATCACTTCAGCAGCTGTGGTTTTTCCATTGCCAGATGGTTTTACAAACCAAGAAGATAAATCCAGTTTCTTCTAACAGAGACCACATGTTTTTAGCTGAGGGTAGGATTCATCTGCCTAAGTTTCATTCGCCTCATCTGTAAAGGTAACAGAAATGCTGACAGTATTACAGAAAATATGACAATAGATACTCTAAGCGTGTTAGTTGGGGTGTAGGTAGGACTCGGCAACATTCACTCACTTCTCTCTGTTCTTTGGAGAAACTATGGTGACTTCTTACCCTTTATTGTGTCTGTAGTGGACTGTTGATATAAGACAAACATGTCTTATGCCACCTATTCACAAATTACACAAAGGTAATGCTGAATAGTTGTTGTGGGATGTCCTATATGCTGTACATATATGTTGCTATGATTGATTGATAAATAAAATTCTGACCAGTAGCCAGGCAGGAAGGATAATGTAGGCAAGACAAGGAGGAGTAGAATTCTGGGAATTGGAAGGTTGAGGGAGAGAGATGCTGCCAGCTTGCATGATGAGAAGCAGAGGTTAAGATACCAGTAAGCCACAAGCCATGTAGCAACTTATAGATTAATAGAAATTGGTTAATTTAAGATATAAGAACAGTTATCAAGAATCCTGATCCATTAGGCCATGCAGTTTGTAAGTCATATAAGTCTCTGTGTGTTTACTTGGTTGGGTCTGAGCAGCTGCGGGACTGGCGGGTGAGAGAGATTTGTCCTGACCATGGTCCAGGCAGGACCAGGAAAACTCTAGCTACTAGTAATAGCATATATTGTTCATGAAGAAATTTGAATTAAATTGTGTTACCTTATGATACACTGATTCACACTGATTAATTTCCACATTTTATATCTCATTGTACTAATAATTGAATCTCAAGAGGGAGTAAGTTTCTTGTTGTCACAATGATATCCCATAGAGATTGGTGCTTGTTTTCAGAAGCTTAGGATCATAGGCTCTGGGGATGCACACTCACACATAAAGGCTGTAGCATTTTCTGTAGTGACATCATCAGGAGCAGAGGGAGGCATGTAATGTTTGTTTCACAGGATCATTGGTTGGATCTGCATAAATACTTCATTTTGTGGTGGAATACACTAAAATAATAGTTTCTGAGAACTCAAAATTTGGATTTTTCCTCTATGGAATAATATTATTCTATTCATATATAAAGAAAATTTTGTAAATGGAGACTACAAAAGTGTAAACCTTTGTTATTTTGTGTTTTATGCCTTGATTCTGGAGTGTGCATTAGCAGATACCATGCTATGAGAATGCAAGTAAGAGAATGTACTCCTTCCTTGGTAAGATATAATATTCCAGGAAATCTCATCAGTTTAATCTGCAGAAAGACATGGAAGAGCTACTGGTCTGAGAGGGAAACTGTGAACAAACAGAAGTGAATATTGCTTCTTTGTAATTTAATTTCTTTCTCCCTCATGCTAGCTTCATCCATTCCATCTGGCAGAGGCTGTGGAGAGATTGGGCTCACAGTCACCCCACACTGGGAGTAGGAGTAAGTAACACTCAGTACTGTTCATGCAGGAACATAGACATATGAACCAAATGAAACAGAAGAGAGACTATTTATTTCAGTTTTGAGATAAGGAGTCTGATATGTCCCTCTTATGCAGCTTTCCCAGCTGTACACCCAGGGACCTCTTACTCTAACTCCTACTTTATTTGTGTAGTGTATTAATGTGAAATGAAAATTACAATGGGGAGATCAGCAGCTTTTTCCATTAGGTATCATCAGACTCTCTTCCTGTTGTGACAGCAGAAGCTTTCCTTGGACTCTGATACATACCCTGTTGCCTCAAACTCGTTACTAGTAAAGAAGCAGGGCTTGGGAGACAATCAGCAAGATATTTTTCATCATAAATCATGGTAATGGTAAAACATTTTAAAAATTATGTTTTCTTTTGAAGTCAGTGAAAGAAAAACTACTCATCTTTCCTACACATTTGAGGAATAAACACCTTCAAAGCAGGACATTGGCAAGTATTAAAATTTAGATATAATTACAAATATATTCTCAAGTCTTTTAAATCAGTTGATTAGCTGAGAAAAGATCATGGCGTTCTCTATATTCTTTCCTCCATAAATGTCTAAGTGCTGCTGCAATTATGTTTCTATCTAAGGTTAAGGCAAGTGAGCAAATAAGGGGCTCTTTACATTTTTTAAGCCAAAATTCCTAAAAAAAAAAAAAAAAAAATCCCACAATTATAGCCTGGAAACTTGCTTTACAATCTGGATATAAATTCTTTATTAAGATATAATAAGAATAAAATTAATTATGTTGAAAGGAAAAGCAAAGCATGAAATTTATGTGTACAATATTCACCCGATATGCAACCATGTTTTGAACTTCCAATTAAATACCCTTGTATACTGTGAGATCAAATATACAAAACGGTCAAATCAAGTGATATGCTTTTTTCACATCTATTAATGAAAATTTTGAATCATCCTCAGTTTTCCACTTGATTTATAAACTTTTTTGTTTTGTTTTTGTGAGACAAGGTTTCTCTGTGTGACTGGTCTGGCTATCTGGGAACTCATTTTCTAGGCAAGGCTAGCAGCAAACTGACAGAGAACTGATTGTCTCTGCCTTCCTAGTGCTAAAAATGAAGGTATGAGCCACCATTGCCCACTTGATTTATACACTTTAATACATTAAATAATCACAATTATCAGTAGGCAATAGTCTTAATGATATTCTGTCTACATCTTTCATTAGAAATTCTGTCTATGTCTTTGAATTTCCCAAGAAACTCAAAGCAATATATTTTAAAGTAGTTTAAATATATATATTTAAATTATATATATATATATCTATATATATATATGTGTGTGTGTGTGTGTGTGTGTGTGTTTAAGCTGAAGAGCCGTGTATATATAGTGTAATGTAGCCCTCAAGAGTATATATTACCTAAACCATAGCTGAAATTAAATCCTAAAATGAACTAAATCAATGTGATTATTTCACAGAGGTAAAGGGCAATATAGAAGGCAATTCCAATCTTCCATTTTAAAACACCTTAGGGGAGCAAATAACCCATCACATCAGCCATTTAAGTTTCTCTGGAGATATTGGAGGTGTTCTCCAAACTTAGAAGTTATTTTTACTCATTTAAATATTTAATATTTAGAAGATTGACTGATAAGGCTTCTAGAGGAATAGAATATGAATTTTAGAGATCAAGGACTTAACCCAATAAGTAATACCTAATGCTTCTTTTTGATTTAAGGGCATGTTTACAATTATGATAAAACCATTATGTACAATGAATGTATTTTAATTTTACTGTGATTTCTGAATTAAACTGTGGATTTTAAGCATTTCTATTATCAAAGCCTTAGTTAATGCTAAATTCATATGAACATTTGCTTATATCTTTACAGATATTTACTACAACTTTGCATCCAGAATCTATTTTTAGGAAAGAGGTGAAACTACACTTTAAATCATGCAATAAAGTATAATGTAGTTATTTTCTCCATCAAATTTTCAATGGGATACATGGTTGAGGGAAACTGCACTGCTGTGACACACTTCATTCTCCTAGGGCTTTCAGATGTCCCTGAGTTGAGCGTTCTTCTCTCTTTGGTGTTTCTTCTCATTTATGGTGTCACTGTCTTGGCCAACCTGGGCATGACTGCCCTAATTCGGGTCAGTTCTCAACTTCACACACCCATGTACTTTTTCCTCAGTCATCTGTCCTTTGTAGATTTTTGCTACTCTTCCATTATTGTACCTAAAATGCTGGCTAACATCTTCAATAAGGACAAAGCCATATCATTCCTGGCATGTATGATCCAATTCTATTTGTTTTGCACCTGTGTGATCACTGAAATTTTCATGTTGACTCTTATGGCTTATGACTGCTTTGTGGCCATTTGTAACCCACTACTGTACATGGTCATCATGTCCCCAAAGGTCTGCATGGTATTGGCATCTGGCTGCTACCTCTGTGCATCAGTGTGTTCTCTGATTCATTTGTGCTTAGCCCTTGAGATCCCATCATTTAAGTCAAATGTGATCAACCACTTCTTCTGTGATATACCTCCTCTCTTAAGTCTTGCCTGCAGTGATGTCACTGTCAATAAGGTGGTGCTGTTTGTTTTAGCCACCTTCAATGAGAGCTTGAGTATTGTGATCATCCTCACCTCCTACTTGTTTATCCTCATCACCATCCTGAGAATGCGCTCTGCAGAGGGGAGACGCAAAGCCTTTTCTACCTGTGCCTCCCATCTCACTGCCATCACTGTCTTCCATGGAACAATTCTTTCCATTTATTGTTCTTCCACATCAGAAAACACTGGAGATGCTGACAAAGTGGCCACGGTGTTCTACACTGTAGTGATTCCCATGCTGAACCCCTTGATCTACAGTCTCAGAAACAAGGACGTGAAGGGTGCTCTCAGGAAATTGGTGAACTCTAAGATATATGCCTAAGAAATATTGAATTTTAAGTGTGCAGAACTCCAAGGGAGATACTGGCAAAAGATTAATAGATTAAACATGTTTGGGCTGGAGAAAATAAGGATCAGGGCACTTCAGAGTGACTCTTTTTGTTTTGTCGAGTTTATAACTTTAATTTACAAGCATAGCGTTTAAAAGATTCCACAAATGAAAGTTGATTTATTCCTTTGACTTAAATCAGTTATCTATGAGTTATGCCCTACCAAGGCAAATATATTTCATTTTGTACAAGATCTTCCCCAATCTAAAAAGAAGGATTTTGCAAAGTTTGTAATTTTATTTCTGTATCCATAATTGACATCATGATTCATTTTAAAATAGAATGTCTGTAATTCATAAACATCATTAAACAAACAAACCTGAATGCACATAGTAAGAAGACCATGGACATTCGCTCAAGATTTTATTTAGTTTTCTATCCCAGGCTCATTGCTTACCTTGTTTTCCATATTGTAATGCTGGATACAGCATTCAGTGCTTTATGGCTATTTAATAACATGCAGCCTTTTAAGGAAAATATTTTAGTAGCATTGATTTATGAAAATAATATTTTAAAAATGCAAGGATATAAGTATGTCTTCTTGTGATATGTGCATGTGGGAGCAGTGCCCACAAATGGTAGAAGAATCCTTGACACTTCTGGAGCTGGAGTCCTTGTCCTCCTATAAGCCATTTGATGTGTGTCCTTGGAATTAAATTTGGGTCCTCTCGAAGAGCAGAAATCTGTCATAGCTACTGAGCAATCTTACTAGTCCCTTTACAGAGCATAAAGCATTCATATGAAATTATGAATTTCTAAAAAATAAACTGATCCAGGTTTTTTTTTTTTTGCTGTCTAATGGGAACTTTCACTATAGGCAGAATTTCTGAATTGTATATTCCCTCGCTTTATAACCATGCTAACTCTGCTACTGAAGAAATGTTTGTAGTCACCCCTGTTCATGCTCTCTGCTTTGATACACATATGTACTTTTTATTTCATTAAAGTTGTACTTTGAGGATTTCACACATGCATATATTACTTTCTCATTACTGTCAACCCAATCTCTGTGAATCCCTCGGCCCTCATACTCCCTCTCATTGAGTGTCTCTTTCCCATGTTCATGATTCTTTTCCTCTTTTTTGTGACTCATAAAGTTCACTCAGGGCCATCTGTGTGATCTTGGGCTTGAGACTATCCACTGGAACATGATTCCTCATCAGTGGGTTTGAAACTGAAGACAGCATCTTTCCCTCCTCCATGTTCCAACCAAAGCCCATAGTTCAACTCACACATCTTCCATCATGATACAATGTCTGTCATTTCCCAAATTTCCATGTTTCTTAGCCACGTTCATTTTCAGTTCTATCTATAGTGTTAACACTTTTGTATTATACTTCAGTATTTATTCCAATTTGTATAGTGTATTCAGTTGTTGATAGAAGCCTCTCTCCTTGAGTCTATGATGTTATAAAAGCAATAGGCTGGAGTTCAGGAAGCCAGGTTGGTGTCTTGACTCTGTTTTTTCTTTGCCATTAATTTTTATTCATTTGCTTTTGAAGTTTTGTACAATTACCTATATAAACTCTGGGAATCACATATGACAGAAAATTTGTACTGTTTATCTTTCTGAGACTGACTTATTTCTCTTAATATGATCACATGAATTTTCTTACAAATGGCCTAACTTTTGCAAGAATTCCACTGTATAAAACACATTATCTTTATCCATTCCTCTGCTGTTGGACACCTAAGCTGGTCCATATTTTACCTATTGTGAATAGTGCTACAACAAATATTGACTTTAAAAACTGTCATTAATTTAATTTTCCCTGGTATGGTCGAAAGCTCATGGGAATGTTCTTTATAGGTCTATGCAACCACTATGCCAGTCCAATGAATTGAAGATTTTCTCAGTAAACGAGATGAAATTCAGTTAGCATCTCAGTGGCTTCAAGTGTAGACTGTAGGAGAGACATTTTATATCTTTGCTCTCCAAAACAAATGCCCGGATACTCACCTCTCTGTTCCAGAAGGGAAGTCGGGGCAGGATGGGACAAAATTTCTTTTATTCTCTAAATTTCTGATTGATATAGGATTGTCAATTGCCTCTTATAAATTAGCATGAGGTGATTTTAAAAGCTGGAATGATATTATAGCTAAAATGTTTCATTATAGTCATCTTGGCTAAGTATATAATGAAGTTATTATTTTAGCCAACACACAAAAAACAAACACAAATATAATTGTCCAATCTGAAACCTTATAGTGAGCCTTTTAGATCTTCATTCCATTTCTTCTAGGTTCTAAATCACCAACTGTAGCTAGAGTTTTCCGGCCTTGCTCACAGTCAGGACAAATCTCTGTCACCCGCCAGTCCCACAGCCGCTCAGACCCAACCAAGTAAACACAGAGACTTATATTGCTTACAAACTGTATGGCCGTGGCAGGCTTCTTGTTAACTGTTCTTATATCTTAAAGTAACACATTTCTACAAATCTATACCTTGCCACGTGGCTCGTGGCTTACCAGCATCTTCACATGCTGCTTATCCTGGCAGTGGCTGGCAGCGTCTCCTTCTGCCTTCCTGTTCTTTTATTTCTCCTCTGTTAGTCCCGCCTATACTTCCTGCCTAGCCACGACCAATCAGGTTTTATTTATTGACCAATCAGAGCAACTTGACATACAGACCATCCCCCAGTACAGCCAAGTGCAGACCATCTCAGACACCTGCACTCAGGCCCATGGTCCTAATCATCCTCTATGCAAACCTGCTGGGTAACGCCACAAGGAACCCAAGAAGGGCTCCCACAGGACATACATTAACATCCCACAGCAACCAACAGTCCAATTTAAAACTGGGCTATAGAGCTAAACAGAGAATTCTCAACAGAAGAAGCTCAAATGGCTGAAAGATATTTAAGGAATTGCTCAACATCCTTAATCATCAGGGAAATGCAAATCAAAATGACTTTGAGATATGATCTTACACCCGTTAGAATGGCTATGATCATAAATACTGAAGACAGCTTATGTTGGAGAGTTTGTGGAGTAAGGGGAACACTCCTACACTGTTGGTGGGAATGCAAACTTGTACAGCCACTTTGGAAATCAATATGGCTCTTTCTTAGAAAATTGGGAATCAGTCTCCCTCAAGACCCAGCTACACCACTCTTGGGTATATTCCCAAGGAATGCTCAATCATACCACAAGGACACATGCTCAACTATGTTCATAGCAGCATTATTTGTAATAGCCAGAACCTGGAAACAACCTAGATGCCCTTCAACTGAAGAATGGATAAATAAAATGTGGTACATATATACAATGGAATACTTACCAGTAAAAAAAAATGACATCATGAGGTTTGCAGGCAAATGGATGGAACTAGAAAATATCATCCTGAGTGAGATAACCCAGACTCAGCAAGACAAACATGGTATGTACTCACTCATAGGAGGATACTAGATGTAAAGCAAAGGATAACTAAGACTGCAACTCACAACTCCAGGAAGGCTACCTAGTAAAGAGGACCCTAAGAAAGATACAGGGATTGCACAGTCACACAGAAATTGATGAGACCTATATGAGCAAACTGGGGTGAAGGGGGGTAATGGAGGGCAAGGTCGGGGGAAAGAGAGCTTAGGGGAGCAGGAGGTTCCAGCTGGATCAGGAACAGAGTGGGAGAACAAGGAAAGAGATACTATGATAAATGAAGATTCTACAGGAATAGGAAGAAGCAGAGTGCTAGAGAGGTCCCCAGAAATCCACAAAGATACCTCCTCTATAGACTACTGGCAATGGTCGAGAGAGTGCCTGAGCTGACCTACTCTGGTGATCGGATGGCCGAACACCCTAACTGTCATGATAGAACCCTCATCCAATGACTAATGGAAGCAGATGCAGAGATCCACCACCAAACCCCAGTGGAGCTTCAGTAGTCCAAGAGGTGAGAGAGAGGAGGGATCATATGAGCAAGAGACATTGAGACCATGATTGGAAAAAGCACAGGAACAAATAGCCAAACTAATAGAAACACATGAACTGTGGACCAATAGCTGAGGAGCCCCCATGGAACTGGATCAGGCCCTCTGGATAAGTGAGATAGTTGATTAGCTTGAACTGTTTAGGAGGCCCCCAGGTAGTGGGACTGGGACCTGTCCTTGGTTCATGAGCTGGGTTTTTGGAACCTAGGGCCTATGCTGAGAGACTTTGCTCAGTCTTGGTGCAGGGAGGAGGGGATTGAACCTGCCTCAACTGAATGTACCAGGCTGGGCTGACTACCCAGGGAAGACCTTGCCTTGGAGGAGGAGGGAATGGAAGATGTATTGGTGGGAAGGCTGGGGGATGGTAGAAGGGAGGACAGGCTGATACATAAAATGACTAGAAAATCTCTTATATAAATTAAAAATAATAACTTTGCTTTACAGGGCGTTTGTATATGGAATTCTTGAGAAGGCATAATATCCATCTAGTAATACACAAAAAAGTACAACGTAAAGGCCTAGATTGACATTTTAAATCCTGAAGAACACCCAGGTAGAGCAGATGATGAGCATGGTCCCATGGGATGCCACAACACTTTCTATTTAGAAGGCAGAACTCACATCTTTCTGAGCTTGTCCATAGAGTCAAGCAGATGGGGAGGCGCAAAGCCAGCATTTTGCCTTTTCTAGCAACTTATTTTGATTTCCCCCCTGATTTGTCACCATTTTACTTTTGCAAGACTAACACAAAGACCATATTGTATTTTGGTTGACTATGATGCAGTTTAAATGAATTAATATTTGTATAATTTTTAGAGGAATCTAAGTGTGCATTATGATTAGCCAGTTCTCCTCACTAGAATGTGATCCTAGCTATGAATTAGAATATTTCCTAACAATATGATAAAAGCTTTATGAGAAATCCCCATGTAATCTGAATTATATTTCACATTCTTGATACAAGATGTCAATATCCAGAATCATCCGTGATGTCTGAAATACAATAT